ATGCCAGGAGAGGGTGCTGGAACCTCTGGAGATGGAGTTACAGGCAGTTGTAAGCTGTCTGATATGGGTGTTAGGAACTGAAATCAGATCTTCTAGAAGAGCAGCAAATGTTCTTAACCACTAAGCTATCTCTCCAGCCCCCTTTTATTTTCTCCTTAAATCATCAAGACCTTGCATTTCTCAGAATGACTTGATATACCCCAATGCCGTCACATTCTTGAAGATGAATACATTTCTATCATCAGAGAGGGATATTGCTCCATCACGAAGGTCTCGTCTATTGAGCATAAGAAAGACAAAGTGAAAGAGGGGTTTGTTTCCTTTTGTCTCAAGCCATAAGCTGGTGGTCACTGCTGATGCAGTTTCCACTTTAGAGTATAAGCTATTTAGAATCTTATATAAGATGATCATTAGAAAAGAGAAATTATGTCATTTTCACTTGTTTGTGCATATGTGTATGTATTGTGTTCTCACAGGATGTAGGAGTGTGTGTGTGCATGTGCGTGTGTCTGTGTGTGTGTGTGTGTGTGTGTGTGTGTGTGTAGAGGCTACAGGCTGATGTTGGATGTTTTTCTCAAATGCTCTCTACCTTTTTCGACACAGGGTCTCTCACTGAACCTGGGTTCACCAATGTGGTAAGACTAAGCAGTGAGCTCCAGGGATCAGCCTGTCTCTGCTTCCCAGCATCCGGATTTCAGGCATATGCTGGGACACTGGGCTTATATTCGGATTTTAGGAATCCAAATGGAAGTCTTTGTGCTTGCATGACATGTATTTTACTTACTAAGTCTTCACCCAATCACCTCATTTAGGATTGTGTGTGTGTGTGTTTTGTTTTGTTTTTTATGTATATTTGAGTGTTTTACCTGCATGTATATAAGTACCCCACATGTGTGCAATGGATGCAGAGGCCAGAAAAAGGTGTCTGATCCACTGGAACTAGAGTTATGAACAGTTGTTAGCTGCCATGTGGGTGTTGGGAATTGAACCTGGGTCCTCTGCAAGAGCAGCCAGTGCTTTTAACTGCTCTCTAGCCCCTCACTTGGTTTTGTATGAACAAAACCTTTCATTCCTGTCCTTGGCAGCAAGTCTTGTCATTTCTTCCTTATTAATGGAGTGGTATTTACCAAGTTACCTTAACTCGAGCATGATGCTCTTTTGGGAGTAGCTGTGAAGAGTGAAATAACATAGGCAAGATGCCCAGAGCGGCCTGTTTCTTCAACAGATGTCTATTCTTGCTCAGTGGAGGCTTCATAAGCCTAACAATGAGTAGACTAGGACAGGCTAGGTGGTCCATTTGATCACGTTATCTGATGCTTAATCTCCTCATTATATTTCTTTTTTTCAAAAAGCTAGAACTACAGTGGAAAACAGATTTTGTTCCTGTGAGTGAGTCAGACCTCTGCCCCCAGCTGCCCAATGGTAGAGCCTCTTTTGAACCATTATGTATATGACAGATTGCGTTTTCTAGGGCAGCATCTAAAGGTGGAAACCAGAATGCAAGAAGACTTACAGAGCACTCAGTACCTGTGCAGGAGAAGGGAAGGAGTAAGAGCTGATGGAGGGAAAATCAAATTTCAGTCTCATCAGATGTTTCATGCAATCTCATCAGAAGTCTTTTATTATCTCTTTGAAGTAGGGTCTAACGCAGCTGAGGCCAGCCTCAAACTTTCTCTGTAACCAAGGATGGCCATGAACTTTGGATCCCCCTCCTCAACCATGCATCTCCCCATGAATTCTGGGATGACAGGCTTTCACCACCACACCTGTTTTCATGTAGTGCTAGAGATTAAACCCAGGGCTTCATGCATGCTAGGCAAGCACTCTACCAACTGAACTCCATCCCAAGGCACTTGTCAGGAGTTTTAAAGATAATACCTGGGCCAAAGAGAGACAGGACTGCATATTCACATACTGAATAGTCTTTGCACTGTTAAGAAGAAAACCTGATTTTGGACAAAATGAGTCAGTACTTAAAGGAAGATGATGGTAAGGATTGTTTATAGGCAGTACCCTAATACTATAAGTCCTTAGTCCGCAATCCCACTAACGACACCTGACTGGTATTTCATAGCACCCACTTGGGTGAAGACCTGGGCCTATGTAAGGAGGTATATTAGTTAATTTCCTGTTGCTATGACAAATCACCAGCCCACTTGGGTGAAGACCTATGTAAGGAGGTATATTAGTTAATTTCCTGTTGCTATGACAAATCACCATGATCAAGGCAACCCACAGAAGGAAGGGTTTATTTGGCTTACAGTTCCAGGGGGATGAGTCCATCGCAGCAGGGAGACATGGCAGGAGGCAGCTGGGAGGGAAAGCTGAGAGCTCACATCTTCAAGGACACAAGGGAAGCAGAGAGAGAAACTGGAAGTGGAACATGACTTTGAACTCTCAAAACCCACTTCCAGTGATGTGCTGGAAGGAAGGCCACACCTCCTGATCCTCCCAAAACAGCACCACCAACTGGAGGTAAAGTGTTCAGATACTTGGAGCCTGCAGGGGACATTAATTCAAACCACCACAGGAGGGTTTTATTTTTCAATTTAATTTTACTAGTTTATTACCTGCTTTTGATTTATTTTCTTGCAGGGCTGGGAATCAAGGCCTGGGCCTGCGGCATTCTAGGCAAGCAAGCCTTCCACAGAATTACATCCCTAACCTGCAAAGGAGTTTGAAAAGCCTGGGGCATAGTCCAGGACCAAGCCACGCGATTCTAAGTGCTGGTGTCTTATACTAAAGTGAGTAGACATGGTACCTTATTCTTGAAGGACTTATTATGATGGAAGCAAGCACAACCTATATCCAGGTTGAAGTGAAGAAACAGATTTACTCTTTGTATCTGAAAGGGGAGAAAGCATCTGTGAATCAGGTCCAGGGTACCAGTGTGGAGTAAGTGTTCAACCAATGGGAACCGAATAAGGAGAAGTGAGGGAGACTTGGATGACGTTACATCAGCCTAGAGGGTGAAGTTGGGTATTGATTAATCCACCTTGGAGCCCAGAGATCATGGGAAAAAGCAGTAGCTACAATAAAGAAAGTTTGAGGGTAAATATTTAACATGTCCGTTGAAGTAAGGAATGTAATGTTGCTGAACCAACTGTAGGGTTAAGCAGCAGAGAAGTGGGGTAACTGGCATGGTGAGAAGCTTTGGTCAGAAAAAGTTAAGGCATGTGCCTGGGCATCATAGACAAGGCAGGGCACATAGGAGGTGAGCTGGGCAGTGCCCTTCAGGATGAACTCGTGAGCCGAGAGTACTGGAAGTTGAGAATTGGAGAGGAAGCTGCTTCCGTAGTTCTAGGAAGTGCAGCAGCGAGCTGTGGTCAAAGCAGAGAATGAACAAGCTACAGGTGAAAGGATTCAGAAAGGTTCCCAAGAGACACAGCTAAATGCGTCGTACTTAGAAAATATTGTATATAGGACTTAAAGTCACTTGGGTTTACAGTGTGCAAGTATATGGCTGTGAAGATTAGGTTTTGAAAAGAAATGCATTCGAGAATGAAGAGGGGATGGGGAGGTAGCTCCGTTGACAGAGAACTTGGCTCCCGTGCATGAGGCCCTGGGTTCAATGCCACATAAACCAGGCATAGTAGCACATTCCTATAATCCCAGGACTTAAGAGGTGGAGACAAGAAGATCTGGAGTTCAAGGTCATCCTCAACTACGTAGTAACTTTGAGGCCACCCTGGTCTAGATACGTGTGAGTTCCAGTCTTCAAAAGAAGAAATAAAAGCAAAGAAGAAAATTAAAATGAACTAAAATTATTAATATTAGAAATATTAGAAATAACTAATTTCCTTTTTCTCCTTTGTTCCATCCCTCCTTCGCTCTTTGCTGACACCAGGGTATAAAACTCCAGACATGGAAAGGATGTAGAAATTGCTTACTTTACTGCTTTCATGTTACTGGACGAGACCGACGAGGGCAGAGCAGGGACCATCGTGCTCAGAGTTGAAGAGCAGTTGTCCCCAGTCCATGCGGTCTTCAGTTCTGCGCCTGTCCCCATCATCTTGTCTCCTAGATGCAAAGAAGACCGTGTGTCACCCACCGTTCTAGACTGTGGTCCAACATCTACAAGGAAGTATTAAAAACAAACAGGTAAACATACTTCAGGTTAACCCTGAGCGGCAGTCACACGGCCTCCACCTTGGCTTCTGGACAGAACCACTGAATGAGCTTTTCCAAAAACATAAATTTAAGAGTACATTCTGAAAGTTCCAAATGATGCTTTAGTCTCCAGAAGAACAGTTAAAAATGTAAACATGCTAAAGCATAAGCAAGGATCAAGGATATTAAATGCACAGGGAAAAACTGCATGATGTCATGTGGAATATATTTAGTGTGTACATTTGTGATTCTCTAAAATTCTTTGCTTTCTCAAGGCTTTCTGTGCAGGGATCCTGGCTGTACTAAGGCATTTTACACATGGACACGGCTGCCCTCAGAGTCCTCGTACCCTGCCAGCACAGGAGATCAAGGAAAGAGGGAATTTTAGACCTCCCTCAATGTAAAATATTAAACTTACCAAGTAGTAAAAATAGCATATTTGTATAAAAATAGCATGTACTGCAAACAATCTAGCTGTTGGCAAATATTTAAAGATGTACAAAGTTTTCCAATATTTTGATATCTGGTGAAGCCATGTTTCAACATAAAACAGACAGCACACATTCTGTTTAGAATATACTCAGTCTGTTCACATGAGTGAGATCTGGGTATAGAGGATTCACCAAGGATAATGCAGATAATTTTACACATTTTTCTTCAGTGCTGGAAATTGAACCCAGGGCTTTGAACATGCTAGCAAAAATCTATCATTGAGCTACATCCCTGGTCCTTCATGTAGGGCAATTTGGTTCATGTCATTAAAGCTTTAATTATTCTTTCTGCTGTAATTTTAATATTCCCACAGGCCTCTCTGTTTGGATACTTGGTCCCCACTGGTAGCACCGTTTGGAAGGTTGTCCAACCTTTAGGAGGTGGAGCCTTGCTGGAGGAAGTGGGTCAGTGGGGCAGGGCCTTGAGCCTTACCCACTTCCTATCCATCTGCTTCCTGGCTACCAATATGATATGGCCAAGCACCTCACACTCTGGCTCCTATACCTTCCCCACCACGATAGACCAGATCTCCTTAAACTGTAAGCCAGAACAAACCCTTCTCTCAAGTTGTTTCTTGTTAAGTATTTGACCACGGCAAGAAGAAAAGTAATGAATACGTTTTCTCTCAAGGGATGGCAGCAAGAAGCGGTTACAGAGGTGCTAAGATGGAAGAAGGGAAACTGCACAAAGAAAACAGCCAAGTCAACAGGAGGGAACAGCAGGGGTCTACATGCTCACCTCACTCCCCTCTCCAGGCTCCAATGTGGTTCCTCATTGGCCAAATCCAAGAACTAGTCAGAGTGAGGAGAGTGGAGTGGGGCAGAGAGTCGATCCAGGGAACAAAGAGGATATACTCAGCACAGGGGTAGAGTGGGAGAAGCTGAGGCCCTGTAAAAAATATCTGTTGAGTATCCCTTTATGCAGTCATTAGGCACGCACCAAGTATTTACTACTGTTAGGCACCGTTATAAGTCCTAACAGGACTTGGTGGATATCACTCAGTACCCAACACCAGGGAGTTCAAGGTTGGATGGAAAGGGCCACAAATACAGAGAGGACCGTAGACAAATTGAGTAAAACTCCCCTGTAAGTGGAAGGTTAACATTCCAACTACATGACCAAACTTTTCAAGAAGGCTTTAAGCAACTGCTTTTAAGGAGAGATGTTTCCTGTACTTAAAAGATAACAGGAAATCCACTTCCAGGAAGACTGTTGAATCTGATCCTGTGATCAGGGAGGGAAAAAAAGAAACAATATCAGGACATTACATAAAGATTGGAATGGTACAGTTAAGCAACAGTGCCCGGATAGAAGCCCAGGAGGGGACAGGTGTTTGTCATGGAGTCCAGATCTGTCCGGTGTCCTTCAGGGAACACCTGCAGGGAGATTCCATGCAATCCAGACATCAGAGGGCCCTCCCTAGATCTGCTGTTTGAATCACTTCTTTTTCCTGAGTCAATCTGCCTCCAGGGCTTGCCAGTTTCTTTTCTAGTTTTACTTAGTTAATTTGTGCATATATGTGTGGTGTAATAAGCAGACATTGGTCAGGAAGTAGAGCTGTTTGTGGATACATTTCCCCGTGTGCATATGTGGAAGCAGAGGTAGACATGGTGTCTTCTATTGCTGTCCATCTTGCTTTTTAAGACAGGGTCTCTCACTGAACCTGAAGCTCCCTGTTTAGATTGTCTGGTCAGTGAGTGCCTGAGATCTAGATTCCTGTCTCCTCCTCCAGTGCTGAGGTTATAGATACCAGAGGCAATGCCTAGCTTTTACATGGGTGCCGGGGATCTGAGCTCAGGTCCTCATGCTTGCAGAGCAAGCACTTTACCCACTGAACCATCTCTCCATCTCCCCTCACTGGTATCCAGACATTAAAAATTTCAGTCACATACATTTCTTAAAATTATTCATAAGTTTATCATCAATTTTGTGGAAAATTTGAAGTGGGGAATTATGAAAACATACTCTTTTCTTTCCTTTTTCACTTTTCCTCCTTCTACACGTTTTCCAGAAACTTTCAAGTATTTCCCTTTGTCAGTGTTTATTAGGAAGCCAGGCTACTTTACCTCCCATTAATCTTTCCAAAGGAATTGTTAAAATTCTCTGAGAAATTTTATCCCTAAAAATGTTTCTAGTTGCCTCTGTTCTGAGGGCTACAGATTAAGAAGCTTGACTTTGAGACTGGAGAGATTACTGGGTGGTTAAGAGTACTGGCTGCTCTTGCAGAGGACCCAGGTTTTGTTCCCAGTACCCACATGGCAGCTGACAACCATTTGTAGGATCTGATGCCTTATTTTGGCCTCCATGGGCACTGCACATACGTGGTGTACTTATATACATGCAGGCAAAACAGTCATACAAACACACACACACACACACACACAAAAGTTCACAGAAAAAGCTTGGCTTTAAGTATAACCTAACATATCTCAGATGAATGACTTAAAATTTTCTGTGATACTGGGTGTCACAAGGTCAGATGCAGATGGATGGTTTCAGAAAGTATTCCAATAACTCTAGCAAAGATGTTTTTGTAGAATGAATGTAATCCTCTAACCTGATTAGAAATTACATGAGATCAAATCATAACATATTTCATAATTTAATTAGTTATATGAGAATCAAGGGAAGATAGTGACAGACCAGAGATTATCACATGATTTTAATATTATTCTGACACTTTAATAGATTATAAAATCTATTCAAATACATCTCAGTGCTCAAGTTACTTGTGTTGGCTTTCTGTTATCTTGACAAAATACCAGAAAGAGTCAACTTATGAAGAAGAAAGGTTTATTTTGGCTGATAGCTTTGGAGGTATGGCAGGAATTTATGTGACTGATTTTTTTAATGTGTGGAAATTGGTAAGGGGGGTATGGAGAGATAGTTCAGTGGGTAAAGTGCTTTCTCTGTAAGCCTGAGTACCTGAATTCGGATTCCCAGCACCCATGTAAAAGCCAGGCATTGCCACAGGTATCTGACTAATACTGACTAATATTATTATGTATACTTTTATTCTTTTGGAAAATATTCAGCCTTAAAGGAAGTATTTAAATTTAATAGATTGTAAAATATATTCAAATATCTCTCAGGATTCAAGTTATTTGTAGTTGGCTTTCTGTTACTGTGACAAAATACCAGAAAGAGTCACCTTACAAAGAGGAAAGATTTATTTTGACTGATAACTTTAGAAGTGTCAGTCCCTGGTTATTTGATCACATGGTTGACTAATTTTGGACCTGTGATGAATCAGTTCATGTGGTGGGGAGCAGGGTGTGGTGGAGAAAGGAAATGAAAAAGGAAAGTGGAAGAAGAGGGTCAAAGATCTATGGCCTTCAAGAGCATGTCCCCAATGACCTAACGTCCTTCCTCTAGACTGTACCCCTTGGGGTTCCATAACCTCCCAGTACCTAGGACAATGCCTTTAACAGAGGGACACTTGAGAGACACTTAAAGTCTAAACTACAGCATCACCCTTCGAGGAGAAAAGCAACAAATATACATAGAGTCCTGTCCCTGAGCTCTATCCTAGGGAAGGAAAAGAATGAGTCCTGAGGAGGGCTTGGGAGGGGCCCAGGAGGAGATGCAGTCATAATGATAAACTAACCACAGTTCGCTACAGTCTCTCCAATTATTAAAGTTGTATATATTAGCAAATTCTTTCCAGTCTACTTTTAACCTGGCACTGTTCACAATTTCACAGACATGTGAGCCAATGAAAATGAACTGTATATAACTCATGAGATGTGTGGACAAGAGCTCGCCACGCACTGCTGTTATGTGCACATAGCAAACCCAGTATGTTCTCATTGTATTTTCTGCCTATATGAATAAAGTACAGAAGGCAAGTTTTCAGGTGGCTTTACGCAGATTTATTCATCTCCTGACTCAATTCACTTAACTGGGATAGAATTGGTTTATGGTTTTTGCTTGGTATAGTGAACAGCTAGATGGATGTGGCATATGGGAAAATTATCACCAGATTTTTATTTGAGTTAAATTAACTTTAAATTTGTTCACTAATCAGTTAGGAATCACCACCAGGGAGACAGGAACAGCAGATGAAAAGGAGAAAGACAAGGACCCAAAGAAGAGGAGATTGTAAGTTCAAAGTGGACATCTATGCCACAGTTCTTTTTAATTATAAACTTGTATTTAACTTTGTATTGCTATGACCAAATACCCAACATGAACAACTTAAAAGGAGAAAAGAGGGTCAGGGAGATGGTTCAGTGGTTAAGACACTTGGGGCAAGCAAGCGTGAGGAACCAAGTTCAGATTCCCAGAATGGACATAAATTCTGGGTGGGTGTGTTGATCTGCCTGTAATCCCAGACCATGAGCTCTGGGTTTGATGGAGAGACCATGCCTCTGAATAAAAGTAGATGAGTCATGGGCGTGGTGGCGCACACCTTTAATCCCAGCACTCGGGAGGCAGAGGCATGTGGATCTCTACCTCAAAAAGGCCAAAAAAAAAAAAAAAACCCAAAAAACTTAGGTACGGTTTTTGTTTGTTTTTCTGGTTTTTTGTTTTGTGTTGTTTTTAACACAATCTTGCCATGTAGACCAGCTGGCCTGGAACTTGCATCAGTCTTCCTGCCTCAGCCTCTCAAGTTGTTGAGATTACAGGT